TAATTGTTACTATGTCTTTTGCTGAGCTTCAGTTTATTTGCAATAATCGAAAAAGTGAGAGTTTTGAGCATGGAAATCAGTTTGTAAGAGTCAACTCTCCAAAACACTTGCAAAATAAGCATCTGAAGTTTTACAATAGTCTAGGGAGAATTTGTCTGTGCTCACGGGTCTGGAAGAGGTCCATTCATTAAAAGCACCTGAATAATATGTGCAAAAGCATTCATTCGAATTATTTATGCCATTCAAAAACACTAGCTCCTGATATATCAGCATTTGGGCCTGCAAATATTTTTTGTGCGTTCGTGAATGCCCCAACACGTTCTTTCCGTTTGTCTAGTACAGCGATTCGCAAAGTGGGCAATAATCCCTTCGACTTTTCTCTCCGTGTAAGCGAAGGAGAGCGCATTCTTGAGGATAGGAATAAATAAAAATTACCGATTGTTTTCTCCAGCATGATGTGGGTATTTGGGCCGTGAACATCGGTATTAGGTCGGCTAACAGATTCAGATTCAGATATTTATTTCCGTCATGCATGAAATATTACATTATTAAAACAAAGAACACAAAAATAATTCTATTGGAAAAAAAAATAACACAATAATTCGATTGCAATTGACGAGGAGCCGCAAATAAACTATAAAGTCGTCGTGTCAGCGACACCAAAATTGCCGTGGTCAGCAGCAGATGACGTCAAATAACTAGTATTTAGAATACATTTGGAAAATGTGGATCGAAGATAAAACGTCACTTAGGAGAGAATTGTTTAAAAGGAAAATAAGTTAAAACGAGAGAGTCAGTCGGAAAAGGAGTTTGTACCGTCAATTTATTTTCGTAGCGTCATGCTCGGGTAAACACAGTATCAACGACGCATCAACGACGCTGCGTTGCTGAGATTAATAAAAGGGGAACTCCCAGCAATGTCACTATACGAATATGAAGATTAGTTTTGAAGTTAAGGCTACATAAATGAAATGAGATCGGGGCAGTAGAATTAAATATATGAAAGATTACGCAATAATGAATCATAAAGAAGAAATTTAAGACATCAAAGCTTGTGTAATAAAGATGAAAATATTCAACAACAATGAAAAGGAATGATATGTTGCAATAAAAGCATCACATTTGCAAAACTGGCATAACTATATTATGTCGAATAATCTCTATCTCTTGGTACCGCTGAATTTACGAATAACTTCATAATGACCTCGATTGTTCGAGTGTGCTGTCTATGAACTTTAATCTAGCAGTTGAACTTAATTTTCTATAAACTTTCTTTGTGCAGCTGCCGTAATTTGCCATCCTCTGTAATAACGACCCATTAATCGTTATGTCTACGTATTTAACAAATTACGAACCGTTTTTTGATCATATTGAGTTTTGATCATCCGGCCCAGTAACCAAGACTATTATCCGAATCCGGCTCACTCAGAAAAGTAATTGTCCACCCCCGATTTAGAACAAGCTCACGGCTCAAGAGCCGACGACAATAGCACTCCATCCTTCAAATTCCAACTAGTCTAGCCTAACCATGCGACTACGAGCAACAACCAACAAGTTTCCTGTAATAAAAGTGGACACCAGCTTTGCAACCTCAAATACTTATCTAAATTCTAAACATTTCATATATTGAAATCAAGGTACACGATCGTAACAGACACGTTTGTGACATCACAATGAACAGTGGCGTACAACGCGTGAAACAAAAGAACGGGCATTCTGGCTAGGCGTTGAAAATATGACGATCCATGACCCACGCTTTGAAAATAATGTTGCAAGTTCGCAAAAATGAGATTTTACTGCTCAAATTTTCTGAAGGTACTGCGCAATTGCGCTTCTTAGAGGGAACCTTGTTGACCACCCTTGCTATCTGTAATCACTAGGGCTGGGCATTTTCGAAACACTGGTGTTTCGAAATCGAAACGAAATTTTGCCTTCGAAATGAAATCGAAACGAAACACACGTTTGTCATAAACAGTGAAATATGATACCATTATTACCCATGGAATTTAATGTATAATGACATCTATTTTCCACAATTAAATCCACAAAAGGATATCACTGGATGCTAATTCGAGAGGATAAAACGATAATGATAATTCCACGAATGTTTCTGCTCAATGACAAAGCAGCGGCCAGATCAAAACGTGGACGGCGGCGCTTGGACGTTTGCGCGATATTCAATATTCTTATAAACACTGAAAACGATATTTGAGAGTCACGATATTCGAATAAATTCGGATATTAAATTCGAATTGGACACTAATTACAGGTTGCATTTGCTATGGCGTCATAATATCCGTTTCGAAGGTCGAAACGCCGCCGTTTCGACATATCAGTGTTTTGAAACAATGTTTCGAACAATGTTTCGAAACGCCCAGCCCTAGACTGATGAGTATGGTAGATTTCAAAGAACGGCTGCTTGTGAGCGACAACATGCAGCATCAGAAGTCACATTAAATGTATATTGACATTGTATGTGTTGACTTTAAAGTGAAAATTTCAGGCCTGATTGAGTGAAGAAATGTTATTATGGCTCGCACAGAAATGCAGTTGGAAATATGTACCATTTGTGGCTCTCTTGACAAAAAAGGTTTCCGACCCCTGCGATACACTATAAAGTTAACGTGTCAGTCTGAATTGCTGAATTGATTAGGTCAAATAAACAGTATTTAAACATTGTTTTTTTGAATGAACACTATTTGGAAAATGTAAGTAGAATTGAGGAAGTCAGTTAGTAGAAAATAGTTAAATTGAAAATATACATGAAAAGCGAGAGAGCCAGTCGAGGAAAAAATGTATAAATTGTCAGCGTCATGCTAGGTTCGTCGCAGTTACAACTGTCGCGCTTCTGACTTACATGACGCTACCTTGCGGAGATAAATTAAAAGGGGAATTTCAAGCAATCGCAATATGGGATGACATCGTCTACTTGACACAAAATGACAGTTTATGTTTGGAAGGGCGCTCACATGGACGTTTTTTCTCGGCACTCCATAGGTATGTGCACCAAGATGGCGCACAAACTGATAACCCTAACCTAGTACAAATACTATGTCCAAGTTGTATGCCATCTTGGTGCACATACTACGGGGATACCTTTTTCTCTTGTCGCGCTTTAAACTTTCGCGGGTTTTTTCCGGTGCAATTATTAAGCGACAGTCGCATTCTCTTCTACCTTTCCTGCTAAATTTTTTGTGTGGCCCAGCTAGATGTCCGAAGTTCGTTATATAGTCGACGTAAAATGTTGCACAGCCTTATGTTAAGTTATATAGCCTACAATAATTACGTTTCTGCTATAAAACTATTCAATCTAACTTACGTTAATCGCAGTTGTCACCTTCAAATCCAGCTGGACAATAGCATGAGTCAGTATCCGATCAATAGCAAATTTCTCTTGTGTTCGAGCATTTCGTGGTGCATGAATCGCCCAAAGATATAATTACGGTCGTTTAATTAGGATGAATAACATGATCCCAACGATAATTGTCCTGAGATCTCTCGTACAAAAACCACGCCAAAAAACAGCCCCGCCAACACTCAAAATAAGTAAGTAATTACGAGTTTGGGTTAGGATTAAAAATGCAAATTTTCAAATCCTTCCTAGTCGTTTTGTAGAACTTATTCGTTATTACTTATCGGTCTTATCAGCAAAGATGCCTTTGTTTAATCAGAGAGATTACTTTCTTCAAAGCCAACGCAAATATCGTTAGTCACGTGATCCCACACCATCACGTACCGATCGGTAAGTATGTTGATAGGTATTTGTCTGTCTGTCTGTTAGATGAACGCGATATCTCACGAAGGCGAGGTTGAATCTGCTCCAAATTGCATACATGCATGCGCATTCAGCATAGCTAGGATCAAAAGCCTATAGATTTTGAATGAATTATGTTGTATAATTAGCGAGTTATTAATTAATTAGCGATCTTCGATCGATAAGTCTTCGGTCTCCGACCGATATTCTCGTTTTAAAACGTGGTGTAAATTTTCTCAACTCACATATTTGTTGGCGGGGTATTTATACAAAAGATCTTTGTTCCGTACGAGGATGACCAGTGCACTGCTCTTGGCACCAGGTGGGAGAGAATTGCACTTTGTTTGAAACTCTCAAAATTTTCTCAGGAGCTAAACTTGACAGCAAAGGGACAGCCAGCTTGTGGTTCTCCCAACAAGTCAACATTTGGCTCGTATATACCTGAGTTATAAAACCCACAGCCTGCAGTAATGGTCGTTGAAACCCCTAAAAATACAATTCCTAATCATTCTTATATCTAGAATTTATAGAAGGTGGATCAATAAGCAGTGCCGCGAAGACGGTTTAATCATATGGCGAACCACGGCCTCTCGTCCGGTTACCAGTCCAGGTCAGATCTGGGATTAGTTAGCCGATTATTTGTTTTCGGAAGCTTGAACATGGTGGTGGAGGAAGCCGTAAACGACCAGAGGTTACGTGAACCACCCTACGGCGGCCAGGAGTCCAGCAATCTTCTCGCACATAACTATCCCCACATGGGATTCGAATTTGCGAACGCACGCAGGGTAATAAGAGATGCGGTGGCGAGCGTATTCCTAACGTTTAGCACGTATGTAACATCGCCGAGCCGTTAACCTTATATTGTACTGATAACCTACAACAACAATCACTAAAATCACGAAACATGCGAATGTATTGTTTGGTGACCACTTTTTTCATTATGCCCAAGCCTGTTGGTTTATTTCACTTTATTTCCTCGTGTGGTAGGGATCTTAGATGACTAATGTTTGTCAGAATTTATATTGTTTATTAGTTTTGTTCTTAGATTTTGTTAATTTTTCTCAAAAATTAATTTCTGAATCGCAGCGTTTTCCAATGTGGTTAGTTATAACAGCCCGGGATAGATACAATTATTACGATAATTTCTCCATACCCGCAAACTTTGCACGAACTAATCGACTGTTTTGACAATGTAGATGCAATGGAATTTTGAAAATACAATTTTTTTCATCGCATTGTCCCGAGGGCAGGTTCAATCTCTATAATTCGATATAAATTATCGTTCAAGCTTTCATAATGTCAGTGAGATGAGAGCAGCTTGGACAAAATCTGCCAAGATGGATAAATATTTCTGCATTGCAATCTTATTCTCGTTTGCTGTTGCTATCAATGCATCATTATTCAATGGATTATTGGAGGGTTCAGGTTGGTGGATATATTCACAAACTTATTCTTTAGTTAGCATTTCTATTCTATTAGTAAGTGATTCTAACAGTATTATATAGGGATTACGGTTTGTGAACAAAGTTTATGATAAAATTTTTCTGCGGGATTCCGTTGGATAGTTTTTTTTCTCAACCCAGTTCATTTCAAAAGTAGCATAGTAAACTATTGTAACAAAAGCACAGTAATAGTATAAGTTGAACTAAGAAGTTTGTATCAAAATATTAAGTGTACTATATTCAATGCAATCTAATAGTGAGGTTTCGCGCTATCAACAAACGATGGCTAAGAGTATTCATAGGTGAACAAAAATATGTTGTTTTCTGAGCCCCAAGTAAGGCCATAATAATATCTTGAAAATCTGTAGTTTGTTCACTTTTTTGTTGCAAGAATTTTGTTCGGATTCCCGTAAAGATTAGGCCGAATTGTTCTTGATTTTATATGCTTTCTCGTAATTATAGTTTAATTTATGTTGCTTTTTTTTACCAATGTAAGAATTTCGTTCCCTCTCTGGTAACATGTTGCTCATATTTTTGTTATCTACTTGAAAAAATGTTAAAATTGTTCATACTCGAAATATCTATTTGGTACAAATTGCTTGCCTATCACTAGATTATGAATCAAAAGTTGCCGTTTTAGAACATATTCCGATTTGTTTATTCCGTTTGACTTCTGGTAGAGTTTTTGGCCATTTCCGTTATTTCTTGTAGAATTAATTAAATTCCCAGACTAGACATCATTTTTTTTTGGATTTATCGCGGTGTTCATTTGTTTCACGCTTATTCCCCCCTTGTATTTTAACGCCATTTTACTTCGAAAATATACGCAATGCGAGGCGAGCCAATGTGAGTCTTTGGGGCCCAAAGTTTCGACTATTGTGTATTGGGCAGTCAGATTTTGCTGATTCTCGCAGATATGACTGAATAATGTGGCCAATGTGCACAGATTTAACCTAATGTATATATATGAATTAGACGCGTACTTGAAGTAAATTGAATTTGAAACCGACTCGGATATCTTGAGCTTCTTGACATAGCAAAACGGTGAACTCACACGTAGCGAAGCATCATTCGCGATACTATACTTCAAGTACAACTATGGCCGGGAAGTCCAGTCATTCTCTCTCATCTAATGACACCAAGAGAGAGGTTCTAACTGGCCATCCTCATACAAGACAAGTATTGTATGGCAGAATGAAACTACCGTATTTTTTTTTAGGAGATACTTGCGCTGGGACCGGTGAATGCACAGAAACAAATGAAGTTTGCTTTGAAACAGATAATAACCAATGCTGGTGTCCAGCTGGATTTACAGGAGACGACTGCACAGAACGTAAATGGAAATGAATAATATAATATCAGATACTCTATCTATGCATAGACATGGGTTATATAACATAAAATACTCACTCACGGTATATTGAAATAAGGGCACTCCCGAAGTATGTAAATCAAGATGACGGACACCGGAACTTAGTATATGTACCAGGTTTGGCCATAATTTTATATTTCAATTTTCCTAATTTTAGTTTTATTACAAGTTCGGGGACTAGCCATGACTCCGGTAGTATTTGTACCTGAAATTAGGGCCTAACCCTAACCTGGTACACCTACTACGTTCCAGTGTCCGCTATTTTGGTACCGAAATAAGTACGTTTTGATTTTCCTATTTGATGTTAAGCTCTGCATCCAATAACAAATCGATGATACAGATCACAGGGAAAATTATAATGATTATCGGTACAAAACTATCACGTCCCACCCAACACATTGTAAACAATTTTATATCAAATAAATTATGCCAGGACGTCACTTATATTAAAAAATTCAAATAGGGGATTGTATATGTTTTCCAAAACAAATATAAAGTATATTAACATAAACTTGTAGATTAATAGCTAAAGGGATTTTTTAGTAAAATTGCAGTTCTATTTTTGATAATATTACGAGCTCGAAAAAAATTCACTATTGAACAAATCTGAATTCTTATCCCATATACGACTTCCAGCGAACACTGATTTCATCGACGAAAGATGCCGGCCACCAACGTTACCAGACTATCCTTGTTCTACTAAAGGTGTGAACTACTGCTCCCGGGGTTGTTCCGATGGGACTATATGCTGTTCAGTAGGATGTGTCATAGCGTGTGTAGATCTTCCCGGTAAGAATTGCTTTTGTGAATCCATTTTCGCCGCTTTTCATGAGAGCCGACCTTTCCAGCAGATAATGCATGGGATTTATGTCGCTTTAAATATTCAATCCATGATGATACAAGCATTTAAAATGTCCGCGGTTCATCTGCGATTCATGGATAAATTTATTCATGATTATATGTTGTCTATTTTTTATTGGGTGTGTCACATACTCATACCTAAGAAAGCCTTAGATAAATGTATAGACTGCTAGATCAGGGGTAATTTGCCGACCCCTGTGCTAGATGATAACATTTTTTGAAAATGCTTTTTACGGTTAACTGTAATTAATCTTAAATTCGCGGATGTTTGATCTGGTGATTTTAGTATGACAGTAATTTTTTTGCTCATTCAAACTTTATTGGAACGAAGTAGATCTATAGATAGCTTTGATATTATGTTGTTGTTGTTGTTGTTAGATTTTTATTTCTATCCTTATGAAAGAAATCGCTTTTCTCTTCCATTACCGGACCAATTGCTTTACAATTTTCTATGGTTAAAATTTTTTTCTTTCTGAAAGGCTATTACTTTTATTTATTTCAAAAATTTTTGTGGGCTTTATGGGATTCGCTTTTCGTGTGCGACGACGTCATCAAAGTCTTCTCGTGGTAAATCTTCTCTAAACTCAATTCAAATGTATTTCAAGTGTTATATTGAGTTAGGATAAAAACAGCATTTGAAATAAAAAATATTATATCACCACGGTTGCGAAAATCGAAAATACAGGTCAAATATCTGAAAGCCACAATTTTTCACAGCGAATTAACATTTAACTCAGTTGGGTAACAACTAACAATGTCTGAGATTTGATTTTATCGGAATCAATTTTAAACGCTCCAAGTATCACAATAAATATCCGATAACAAGCAGTACGAGATAACCTGATGAAAGAGAAAATCATTGACACGAAATTTTATAATGAATATAACTGAACACGGCCGAAGTTTTATATATTTTCTTTAAAACAACGGGCCGTGGAGAGTGTCGGGAACGTGCACAATACTTAGCGGTTCGAGTTACCACTCATTGCTCAGGAATGTCTTGTCCGGCGGTTCTAAACGGGGGGCCACGGAGCAGTCAAAAAAAGGGGGGATAATGCTAGGCGAAAACCTGAATTTACTTTTCTGTTTCAAGAAAGCTCTCCGTTCCTTCCTAGTTCCATATCTTGGTAAGGTTATTCCATGCAGGTAGGGTCACTTTGTTGAGCATGAACTATATGAACATAATGGGATTCGGAAACTACCAATCAAAATACCACACTGTAAATGCCACTGGAATGATAAACAAGGGGCCATGAGTGCTAAGAGCATCCGGAAGGGGGCCAAAAGCCAAACTTGGATACCCCTGGTCTAGTCTAAACATTGTGATATTCTTATAAATATTTAAGTCAAGATGAAAATTTGATGTATGATTCGTCATTGCAAACCGATAACTTTAAATCAAAAAATCAAGACTTTAAAAATATTCGTTTTGAGAAAACATATATTTTTGTCTTTTTACCATCTAAAATTTTATTGAAATACTCTGGTGAATATGGCTTCAAATTTTGATCAAAAAATAAGCTCAAAGCAGTCCTTTCTTTGTCATTTTCATAATTAATATTTTTTTCAAAATTTTAACATTCGCCCTTATGTCTTGAAACAAGGGGCGCAGCCAAGATTTTCCAAAGGGAGCTGTAAAATCGGAATTTTCTATACAACGGCTTATGAACAAGTCGCTCCGATTGTGCTACCCGTCAAGTTTCCGCGAATATTTGATACATACTTGCATTTAAAATGTCGTGCTATGTTGTTTTAACAGCGGTAATGTACTCCGCGGTGGCGCCGACGACAAAATGAAAACACTACTACTATAAAATACCACGGCAGTTCGTGGACATAATCACGAGCGATAAACTTCCCGTTATGGCTTTCAGAGGTATCCCAAGATCTGTGCCCAAAGAATACAATTTATCTCGGTACAATAGAAAATTTGATTGAACACACTTGATCGAACACTGATTAGCCGGGAGAAGAGTCGAGTGCGTTCCCGATAGGGAATTACGAATGGATGAAAAGGCACAAAAGAAATTCGAGTTGCAAATTCACTCATTTTATTATTGTCTGGTCACTGATGATTTTGCACTGGGCGTACAGGTTTAAAATTGCCAATTCTAATGTCAGCTTTAAAAAGTTCGATTTGGAGGTGCAGACTGTAATTTTAGCTTTTATATATATTTTCCATTAAAAATCAACCAGTATTTAAAATGAAAATGTAAAGTTTTTTAAACTATTTAATGCTGGGGTAAATGCCTGTAAAAAGTTTGAAACGAATTTTTAAAATTTAAAAATGTTATTACGGGGGTTGCGTTAATTTACAATTTTAGCTTGTTACGTCACAATGGTTACAAAGCTATTTCGCGTGATTTTATCCCGGTATCGCTCGAAATTATTCGCGGATAGTTTCATGATCGCTCTGCTGCAAAAGATATGCAGCGTACTTCGGACATATGGAAGTATTATAGACTTATAGTAGAACCCGATTCCGTTATTAAATGTCATTTATGTGACAAATTTTCAGTGTTCGACGCGCAAATTCTACTTTGAGATATCATAGATAGAGAAAAACAACATCAACTGCGCACTTTGTTGAATGACATTGAATATACGCTTTTGCAATGAAATGAGTATTTTTTTATACTCGCGTGTTATTTGCATCCCTGTATTGGAACGTATAGTAACCATATTCCCGACCTGTAGTGACAATTGGACATGCTGTCGTGTGTAGCCATATGAATAACTCTTTTTGTGGTAAATTTCCTCGAAAGGTAATACAAATATATTTCAAGTGTTATAATGAGTTAAAATACAAACAGCATTTAGGATGAAAAAATATTTTATTATCATGGTTGCAAAAATATATGTCTACATGATAGTTACAACTCGTTTAAGGCTTTGTTCAAAGTAATTCCATAAGTTTTTTCCCACAAATAAGCGTAACTTATAAAACTTACAGATCTCTATCGAAACGCTCTTCAAGGGCAAAAAAAGTTTTGCAAAAATCAAAAACACAGGTCAAATATCTGCAATGTCACATTTATTTTTTGCAATGGATTATTAATTGGCTCGGTTTCGTAACAACTAACGATGTCTGAAGTTTGATTTTATCGGAATCAATTTTAAACACCACAAGCCTCACAATAAACGTCTTGTACATGCAGTACTCACACAATAGTCTGATTAAAGAGGATTTATTTGACAGTTCTTTGATTTGATTAAAAAGGATTTCTGAGGATTTATTTGACAGTTCTTCGATGTGATTAAAAAGGATTTCTTTGACCACAATCCTCTTTAATCAGATTATCGTGTGAGTACTGTTTGTACAACACGTTTATTGCGAGGCTTGTCGTGTTTAAAATTGATTCCGATAAAATCAAATCTCAGACAACGTTAGTTGTTATGAAACCGAGCTAAATGTTAATCCGCTGTAAAAAATAATTGTGGCAATTATTAATCCATTGGCTCAGTTTCGTAACAACTAACGATGTCTGAGATTTGATTTTATCGGAATCAATTTTAAACACAAGCCTTACAATAAACGTCCTGTACAAGCAGTACTTACACGATAATCTGATTAAAGAGGATATCTTTGACATGAAATGTTATATTGAACATAATTAAACACGACCGAAGCTTTGCTCAATTTTCTTTAAAAACTACGGGTCGTGGAGAGTGTCGGGAACGTGCACGTTGCTGTTCAAGTTACTTATTGCTCAGAAATGTCAAGTCTAAACATTGTCTGAAAAGTCTAAAAACATATATTTTTGACTTTTCAACATCTGAAATTTCATTGAAATACTCTGGTAAATATGGCTTCAAACTTTGATCAGAAAACCAGCTCAAAGCAGTTCTTTCTTTGTAATTTTTATAAAAAAAAATTTTTTTAAATTTCAACATTCGCCCTTATGTATTGAAATCAGATGCGTAGCGGAGAAATCAGAAGTTTCTGAAACAGTCGATAAGATTGCGCTACTAGTCAATTTTCTGCTTTGAATAATATTTTATACATACTAGCATTCAAAATGCCGCGTTATGTTGTTTTGAAAGTGTTAATGTAACTCACGGTGGCGTCGAAGACATAAATACAATACTACTACTACAAAACACAACGGCAGTTCGTGGACATAATCATGAGCGATAAAATATCCGTTATGGCTTTTAGAAAAATAGCAATTTCTGTGCTAAGATCCAAAATATTACAATTTATTTCAGTACAATAAAAATTTTGATTGAACACAGTTGATTGAACATTGATAAGCCCGGGAAAAGGTTAAGTGCATCCCCGATAGTGAGTTAAGAATGGATAACAAGGTCCATCACGAGCACAAAATAAATTTGATTTGCGAATTCACTTATTATATTATCGCCTTGTCACTGATGATCGCATGATTCCGCACCGGGCGTACAGTTTCAAATTTTTCAATTCTATATCACATTTATTAAGTTTGATTTGGTAGTGCAGACTGTAATTTTAGCTTTGATATATATTTTCCAAAATTTGAAGCGAATTTCAAAATTCAGGAATGTTCTTACGGGGTTACGCCTCGAGTGAATATGACAATTTCTTAGTGTCAAGCGATATTATGATGTAAACTGTAGAAAAATTTGAACATTTTTACATCAACTCGCGCTCGCCTTCATATTGTTTTGCGAAGGTAAAAACAAATATCTGCAAAATCACAATGATTGTTTACATAGTTAAAATTTAACGACTTGATTCATCAGTGATTTTATAATGCTATATACTCTACCCCAGTATTTTTTTTGTCATCATCCCATTTATTACTGTGTTGTTATCGGGGGTATTTGATTGTATTAATATTTAAGCTCAAGAATAGGCCACTTATTACGTCGTTTTATTGATGTTGTGACCTTTCACTTCATTTTATTGATATTCAGAGAAAACCTGCACAACAACCGCGAATTGTTCGGCAAATAATGTGTGCACTCAAGACGAGTTCGTAAATGTTTGTCGATGTCCACTTGGATATACAGGAGAAGATTGTATGGAACGTGAGTATCCGATATTTTGTTTGCATTTCTCAGAATTTCGACTTCAAGTAGTCTAGTGATGTGAGAATAGGTGAAACAAAAATATATTGTTCAACAGGACAAGATGGCATCGACGACAGATGTCCCCTTCCCGATAATCTGATTGATGTTTGCGTGGCTTCCCAAGTAGACAACCAGTGTTCTGAAGATAACCCATGTCCGGATAGAGAAATATGCTGCCCAGGAGCAAATGGATGTTCAACCAACTGTATTCCAATAGGTCAGTGCTATAGATATTAATACCTTTGTCGTTCACTACTATATCAGGAGTATTTGCTCCTGTAATGATTTTAAAACCGATAAAAAGTCATTTCATGTAGTAGGCTAAAGGTTACTTTAAACCCATATGAATAATAGATTTGGTTTCAATAGTTATTCAAATAACCGCTGCTGTAGAGGGTATATTAGTATATTGCCTATTTGATACGTTTGATTTTTAATTGTTTGATTTTTAATTCACACAATTCACCAAGTTAGAATATGTATTTCTCTATTTAATATCAAGTTTAAATTGAATAAATGGTTATAGTTACGACATAGAATTAAAGTCGCATCGATTATTCAAGGCTATTGCACACGTCGCAATCATGTCGCAATCCGAAACAGCTCAGAGTCATTGATCAAATGTGATAAGAGAGTGATAAAACGATAAAAACAGAACAGTACCGGAATAAATTTTACAACTCCAAGCATTATCATAAATATCCCGCAACAAATAGTACTCGATAATCTGATGAAAGTGAAAATCATTTGACACGAAATGTTATAAAACGACTACGAATATAAATAAACAGGACCGAAGAGTTTTCCATTTTGTTTATTAGAACAGCGGGTCGTGGGTTGTGTCGGGAACGTGTACGATAAATGAATGCTCAGAAATGTCAAATCTAAACATTGTGACTTCTTCTCAATATTTAAAATAATGACAAAATGCGGTGTGAAACGTCTTAAATTCTAACTACTAATTAAACTAGCTAGATTTAATCTGACTCCATAACAGAAAGGTTAATAGGTTAGCGTGTTCTATTTGAGATGCCTGTTGATTTGATATAATTTTGTTTGTCATCATAGCATTTATTACGACTACAGAATAATACAGAACTGGTAAACTTGGTGTTAGGGGTATTAATTATAAACACCTCGAGTGAATATGACGAGTTCTTAGTGCCAAGCGTTTGTATGTGTAAAAAAATGCGAACATTTTTACATCAACTCAGGCAATTGTCTCAGTGCGCGCTCGCCTTCATATTGTTTTGCAAAGATTTAAAACCAAACCAACAGTTGGAGTTACGTGAAATTAACTACCTTTTCTTGTTCTATGCCTCAACACAAGGATGCTGTAGCAAGAGTCAAAATGACTGTTCCATTTATTCAAGAGTTTTGCTGCACACTAATACATTTGAATAAAAATATATAAAAAACATTATATGCAAAATCATAATAATTGTTCACACAGTTGGGCCTGGTAAAATTTAACGGTTCGATTCATCACTGATTTTATAATGCTAAATTCCAATATTTTTATTTGTCATCATACCATTTTTTCCTGTGATGTCATTCGAGTATTTGGTTGTATTAATAATTAGGCTCAATAATAGGCCACATATTACGTCGTTTTATTGATGTTGTGACCTTTCCCTTCATTTTATTGATATTCAGAAAAAACCTGCACAACAACCGCGAATTGTTCGGCAAATAATGTGTGCTCTCAAGACGAGTCCGTAAAAGTTTGTCGATGTCCACTTGGATATACAGGAGATGATTGTATGGAACGTGAGTATTCGATGTTTTGTTTGCATTTCTCAGAATTTCGACTTTATCTAGTCTAGTGATGGAGAATAGGTGAAACGAGAATATCGTTCAGAGACCGAAGACTTATCGATCGAAAGTTAGGGGATACCCCAAAACAGCGCTTTTACTCCATAGTGACACCTTGTGTCTCATCACTAATCAATTAATAACTCGCTAATTATACGACATAATTCATCCAAAATCAATAGGCTTCTGATCCGAGATATGATGAATGCATATGCAGAATTTGGAGCAAATTCATCCTCGCTTTCTCGAGATATCGCGTGTATCTAACAGACAAACAAACAGACAAATACCTATCAACATACTTAACGATCTTAAGATCGATAAGTAACAAAAATATATTGTTCAACAGGACAAGATGGCATCGACGACAGATGTCCCCTTCCCGATAATCTGATTGATGTTTGCGTGGCTTCCCAAGTAGACAACCAGTGTTCTGAAGATAATCCATGTCCGGATGGAGAAATATGCTGCCCAGGAGCAAATGGATGTTCAACCAACTGTATTCCAATAGGTCAGTGCTATAGATATTAATACCTTTGTCGTTCACTACTATATCAGGAGTATTTGCTCGTGTAATGATTTTAAACCCGATGAAAAGTCATTTCATGTAGTAGGCTAAGGGTTACTTTAAACCAATATGAATAATGGATTTGGTTTCAATAGTTATTTAAATAGCCGCTGCTGTAGAGGGAATATTAGTATATTGCCTATTTGATTTTTAATTCGCACAATTCACCAAGTTAGAATATATATTCCTTTCATTTAATATCTCAAGTTTAAATTGAAACAATGGTTATAGTTACGACATAGAATTAAAGTCGCATTGATTATTCAATGCTATTGCACAGGCCATGAAAACATGTCGCCATCTGAAACAGCTCAGATTCATTGGTCAAATGTGATAAGAGAGTTATAAAACGATAAAAACAGCATTTAGAATGAAAATAATTTATTATCATGGTTTAGATAGTATGATCATACATGGTAGTGTTCAGGGTTTCGTTATAATCTAATGTGTTTAGTCACGAACACACCAAATATCTGCAATGCCACATTTATTTTTTCAGTGAAATAATACTTAGCTCAGTTTTGTATAAACTAACGACGTATCGGAATAAATTTTACAACTCCAAGCATTATCATAAATATCCCGCAACAAATAGTACTCGATAATCTGATGAAAGTGAAAATCATTTGACACGAAATATTATAAAACGAATATAAATAAACAGGACCGAAGAGTTTTCTATTTTGTTTATTAGAACAGCCGGTCGTGGTCGCTCGTGGGTTGTGTCGGGAACGTGTACGATAAATGAATGCTCAGGAATGTCAAATCTAAACATTGTCACATTCTTCTCAATATTTAAAATAATGACAAAATACGGTGTGAAACGTCTTAAATTCTAACTACTAATTAAACTAGCTAGATTTAATCTGACTCCATAACAGAAAGGTTAATAGGTTAGCGTGTTCCATTTGAGATGCCTGTTGATTTGATATAATTTTGTTTGTCATCATAGCAATTTATTACGACTACGAATATATATATAAATAAACACGACCGAAGCTTTCCCTTTTCTTTTAAAATAGAGGGCCGTTGGCTGTGTCGGGAATGTGACATTCTTCTAAATATTTAAAACAATACAAAATACGGTGTGAAACGTCTCAAGTTCAAACTACTAATTAAACTAGCTAGATTTAATCTGACTCCAAAACAGAAGGGTTAATAGGTTAGCGTGTTCTATTTGAGATGTCTGTTAATTTGATATAACAGAAAAAGAACCAGAAAATGCTTCTATAAGATTTTATTTCTTTTGATAATATATTACAATAAACTTAAGTCAATTGAACCAACTCACATTTCTAAGGTATTATTATTGACAGTTGAAATTTTGGCGTAATTGAACAATTGTTCTCGAGGTCGCATTAAAAAGGGTACACACTTTTTAATATCACTCGTTCAAAATCGTCTCTTCCTTTATTATGTTAAAGATCATTCGTTTTCACGAGCAGGGTTTGCTCTTTGTCATTGCAAACCGACAGCTCTTCTTCCTATACTTTACCATCGCAAAATTCCAGATTGATACTAAAAATTTAGTGCCAAATGTGATAACATATTGTTACTATGCAGGCTGTAAAGACCCCGTTGATCATAAAACATGCACCGACCAGAACAAAATCTGCATAGATGACGATTCTACTGCCGGTTTCGATTGTAAATGTCCTTTCGGATACAGCGGGGCCATGTGTGCCACACGTGAGTTTTCATACTTTATTGAATACAAAACCATTTTTCATAATATTTTTTGGTTTTTGTCACCCTAAACTGACCACAGCTGCATAATTAATGTATCGTAATTCACAATCCAGAATTGTATATTATAAGGGAAAATAGCAGAAGGCAGAAATGCTGCTCATTGTGAACTAGGCGTCCAAATGACTAATAAGTTTTTATTACCTATCCAGGAATTGCCGGTTTTGATGAGAAATGTCCTTTTCCCGAAGTTCCTGGAGATACTTGTAATGAGATTGAAACTCCAACCTGTACGAAAGCTGACGATTGTGAAGACGATAAAGTATGCTGTTCTACAGGTTGTGGAACGGCTTGTGTGGATCTTTCAGGTAAGCAATTCAAGGCATGACCGAGTTCACGTAATTAAGCGATATTTTTACACTCGAGTTAGTTGGATGGAACATTAATGAACATCATTTTAAAAAAGAATTGAACAAGGCCCAGGAAGTTCTAGGCAATGTTGTTTTCTGTTTTCGGTGCGTTGGCGCAATGTGATTACATGTAGAGTAGGCAAACTGAGAAATTGAGAATTTGAGTAGGTTATGAGGAACTGAGCTATCTATGTTCAAAAGGCTGTTGGTGCTTGGCTTGACTTTTTGAAAAAATAAAAAATAAACTTGTTTTTGTTTCAGATCCAAAACCGAAAGGAAAGAAACCAAAATTACCAGTGGCACCAGTTGGTTGCCCACCAAAGCGATGTGTTTGTTCAAAGAACCTCGGTGCAATTTGTAAACCAAATAAAAGGGGTTGCGGCGCCAATATTCGTGATCAACACACTGGAAAACGCATCACACAATATTGTAAGTATACTCGATTCTAGGAATGTACTGCTGGTAGGAAATTTACGATCTTAATCGGCGATTGGTCATTGTAAAATGTTAATAAAAACGGGTAGGCCATCACACCTGAAACCTCTATAGTGATAATTGTTTTATTTTGGTTAACATAACCCCGCGTAAAATATCCCCGATGAATTTCACTACAACTATCCAGTTTTAATATATTTTATCTCAGCTCCACGTGTGATTAGGACATTTTCATGCATTGGTTGTTTAGTATGTAAATTGGTCATTTTTCACTATTTATTTATTGTATTGTACTGCGATCGAAAGTTGGTGGCTGTTAAATTAAAGTGTCTGACAAAGACGTGGGGAATTGGGCAGTCGAGGCGCTGCTGTTGATACTCGTCGTTTACCGACAGACGATAAGCTGTCGTCTACAAGCCAATACACTTTTTAAAACCCTAAACATATGTCTTTCCTGGAACGAAAAATTTAATAAGACAATAGTTCCTGCCGCATCAGTTCCCATTTTTTCCACTGCGTAGCCTGAGACCCCAAAAATTGAGTCTCAAATAGCAGATGAGGCAACATTTTAAATACAGAATCCAACGTGTAAACAAGCCGAGACAATCATGGTCTTATCACTCTTTTTGTGTTACAGGCAAATGCGATCCATGGTATCAGATATACAGCCCTTGCTCCAAGAACAAATGTTTCGACGTGAATGGAAATGCATTAGTGTGCCCAGGTCATCCGAACGCTAGATGTCGCGTGACTCAGTGTGGAAGATGCCAGGCATATTGGATCGATATTCATACAGGAAAACAGGTCAAGTGCAAGAGAGGACAACCAGGTACTAAAAACGAAACAAGATTTTACAAGTAAATAGAAAACCATAAGCTGGACACTATCTCATTAAACTGAAAATCATAAACGATTGGCTTTGACTCTAACCCTTGGCTTCGGGAAACTAACTTTTAACAGTAAAAATATTAATAAAAATAATTAGTTTCGGTTGTAATCGATTTGAAGAGTGGAATTACGACTACGCACGCGCTGGTCAATGGCATTGCGAGTGTTATGCATTTTTTCGTGGAAAATCAATTTACAAAATGATGAAAATAAAGAACTTTAGAATATTAAAACATGAGGTTAGCCGCGCAGAAGCAGCTCAACCTAATTTCTGAACTCTGAAGTTGATCAATTAAAAAGTAGAATTGGAAATGCTTGTTAATATTTGTTATTCCATAATCTATAGCAGGGGTGTGCAAAGTGCGGCCCGCGGGCCAAATGCGGCCCGCAAGGGAAAATTGTGCGGCCCGCGGAGGCAACTGGAGAGCAGTTTAAAAAAAATAATATTAAAAGATAGAAAAGTTATCTGAGTTTTGGTTACAGCCTATCGGTTGATTTTGTCTAAATTCAACCTAGAATAAGATTTGACAGCAAATTATTTGAAATGAATCTTGGCGTATTTTACAGAAAACATCTCAACCAAAATAACTTTCCACATTTGAAAAAAACCATGGCTTCAAATATATCACTTTTCAGTAACATATTTTTTTTCTAAAATGGGCGTCCTTTAGAATTGCTAGCACTTCCATTTAAGCAAATTTGGATAAAAGTAGTCGGGAAAAGAATCCAGCAGCAAATTTCTCACTGAATTCGTTTAAATTGGGTGTGACAGTATATTTGAATTACAGTTTTAAGGAGTTTATGCATTTCAACTCATCATTTCTGCAAGGACCCCCAATGATGACATGAGATCAATAACAAAAAGACATTATTTTGTGCCTGCAACTAATAGAAAGCCTGTGTAGGTGCGGCCGGCGGTTTCACCCGGTTATTGATAATTGGCCCGAGTGCGAAAAAGGTTGCACACCCCTGATCTATAGTATATTATTGCGCTCCATTGAATCCTATTGTGGGAGTTCTGAGTGGTAGTCAATTAGGCCAAACGTTTATGTATATGATAAGATTATTTATTAGGACTCGTGAAGCTGTGCTGATAGTTGCTTTTAAATTGTATGGTATTTCCAATTTAGCATTTAATATATTTCAGATGCAGCATGTGGACCCGGAGAGATTCCGGTTCTAGGATGTCCAGATGTATGTCAACATATTAAGTGCTCGAATTATCCGTATGCAACTTGTAGAGTTCGAGCTTGTAATGGGTGCACGGCAAAGTACACCTACCTGGGAAGAGATGTCACGTCAGATTGTCATCAAGTCGTGGGATAAGAATGACTGTTAACACTCACACTGGACTGGAAAACACTTTGAAACAAAAAAACTATTTTGAGCTAATAACTCTGATTTATTCAAAAACACAACAAACTTTACTGGAAAATTCAGTTTAAATTTATAAAATAAAAATTAGAATATTAAACCAGGGGGGTTGCCCCCATCCCCTTAAAATGTAAATAAACCTATTTTGGTACTCCCGAAATATGTGAATCAACGAAGTATGTGTACTGGGTTGGAGTTGGACCATAATTTTATTCCCATTTCATTATTTCAGTTCCATACCGCGTTCAGGGACTAGCCAAATGACTCCCATATCATTTGTACCTGAAATTACGGCCTGAACCTGGTACCCATACTATGTTCCGGTGTCCATCGTCTTGGTTCACATATTCCGGGAGTACCCCCATTTTTCTGTTTCATACACAGAAATCTTTTGCAGATTGAAACGGTTTTTGACCCTCAAGAGTCAAGACCATTAAAATCCCACGAGTCAAGAATCTTGAAACACACCCGGACCTGCTTGCTTTTACGGTCAAACTTGGTCATTAGGAATTTCAGAACACCAATTTTAAAATTACTGGCCACGCCCCTGTAATCAGCTCCGGGCAAAATGAAGTCAAATCGCCCAGACGACTACACAATAAACCTGAAAATACCCTTTTTCTTGCCGTTTTCTTAAATCCATTCATGCAAGGCATGGTTCATTCACACACAAAACTTTTTTTACCCATGATGTCCTAAAACTTCCCTTGAGGTTTTTTAGAATTTCTCTATTCATCGAGATGGAGCTAAAGGGTAAATCGAGATCAATAAATTACGTGTGCGATCTGATGCAAAATCTTTACAAATTTCCTGTGTTATGAATGTGTTTAAAGTAAATAGTTTGCATTGTAATGTATATTGATAAAAAATGTAGTATTCATATACCTTATGTATATGCTTTGTTACTTATTTGCCTTCCAGAAGAGTTGCATTTTCGTTGTTTTTATGAACTTCAACTGTTCATGATTAATCATCGTATTCTCATTTACGGTTCTTTCATTGCAGGCAGAATATTTTAATAAATACATTGTTTGGTGAAGTATTGCTAATAGCCGTTGTGGTCTGGTTTCAACATTTAGGCAGCGATCTGCACCTAACGTCTGTTTCTGTTTGTCTATGGTATGATCTGAGCAAAAATTTAAATGTCTCACGTCGAATTGTGGTACTAAAAGATTTGTACATGAAAGAATTAAGTCTTCATAAGTGTGGTACTATACTTCAACCATTGCTATACTCTAATTAATAAAGGTATCTCGGTACTCCCGAAGTACGTGAACCAAGATGGCGGACACCGAAACGTAATATGTGTACCAGGTTAGGGTTAGACCATAATTTTATTCCAATCCTCCCTAGTGTCCCCATCATGGTTCACATACTTGGAGAGTACCGGCGTCTCTGCTTGTATGGTGCCTAAGTCGAGTGAGACCATAAAACACCCATGTGGAAAGTAAGCATATGTAACTTACCCACCTTCATGTATCGAATGAGTCTATATAAGTCGAGTACTATATAGCCATTGCTATATTAAAAAGTGTTCCCGGTTGTCTGGGCCTTGATCTGGGAGAAAAGCTAAAACGCTTCGAGGAAAAGTGTAGTACTGAAATGTGTTATTTTATGCGTGGTACTCCATCGTTATGATTGGGTAAATAATTTCTTTTTTTGCTTGTCTAGTGCCTCATTCTTAGCGAAAACGTATAACGCCTTATGTAAGAAGTTTGGTACCGTCAGTTGCCAAACGCTGGATTTAAAATATGAGGTTTCTAGCACATATTGCTCCATTGACGGTAACATATTCGTTTTTGCTTATAATCGTTGCTATGAGCGAAAAAGAATAGTTAACTATGAGAAAGCAGACAAGCTTCAAAACATATAAATATTCCTACATAAGTACGCCCTGGTGACGTTTTCGTCTATTGTACTTAATTTTTTTGGTAGCAATTTCAATTGATTTTGAGCTTTGCGTAATAATCCCGTGAAAAAGAGATGTGAATTGTTTTCGCTTTTCGTCGTCATCAAAGAGGATCAATTATACTTTAGAAAGATTTTTACGTCCTTGTGCCTTTGCAGTGACGGATATTTTGGATGACGTAATCAGGTGGGGGTCGTGAATGTAATGTGCAAAAAATGCACGTCAGCTAGATGTGGCCGTGGGTGTGTTGCTCTGATACACTAGATTCTGACTAGAACAACAATCTTACATGTGAAACTTCTTTATATACATCTATCTCAGCGACATGTATGGGGAAAAAATGCATCATTGTTACTATCTCTCTAGGCTCTTATCATTCAGGCAAATCACGCTTCATTAATTTTTAAACACGAACGAGTAGGATAGCATACCCAAAAAGGTGCCGGTAGGAAAATATCAATGGGTACCTGTTTCAATTTGTTCTTGTAACTTGGCCGGCATATCATTCCTTCAAGTAGTCGAGCTTCATTGATAATCCATCCACATACTGACATAATGTATAAATCCATAAAACACTCAAATACCATACACCTCTCAATTCATCCTGACCGGTCTCAGATTAAAAAAAAAAACTGCGAGCTGAAAATATTATTGTTACTGTTGCCAGATATTTAACCGAGTAACCAATGATCCATAAGAGGCCAGGGGAGAATGATTGAAATATACTATTATGCACAAAAAACAATATTTCAAATTTTCCGTACTTTAGGATAAAAGGGGGTGCGCCAGAAGGCTGTAATTTTCGATTTTTGAGTTTTCTTCGATTTCTACGGGACCTAATGTGTTTTTAAACGAGAACCGTTTTCATTCGACCGCATTTATTATTTCCTATCCTCATTCTCTTGTTTTTTATTACTCATGATAACATGAACAAATATTAAATGTTTTTGATGACTGCAGTCGATATATTTTAGCTTAAAAGCCTAATCCAAAATTTTGGCTTTTTATCGATACAGTACTTGAAGGTTTGTCTGCTCCCTTGACTTTGCAATAAGTTTTTATTTGTTTACTTTCATCGAATATTTTGTCGTTTATTATGCCAATCATGGATTCGTAATAAACCTATAATTATGGGAAGTAGCTAAAATTTAGTTGGTTATATGCCACAGAGAAACAGACAGAAAGAGATATTTCTCCGCGAATATAGCGTGAGTGATCGGAATCTCATAATACTATTACAGGTATCAGCAGAGCAGAGGCCAAAAATCAGCATCAAACAAGGGCATCATCATAGTACATGATGTCTAATAAGCATCTAGTGGACATAAACCCACGGGTACGTGTGCCAATATCGCCCTTCGTAAATCAATGACCATTACATGGCTCCCCTGAAACTACTTTTGTTACCAACAAAGGAGTTTCACACAATTCTCAAAATACAAAATTAGAACGAAACACATATTTCACAATGAAATTTCAGTTAAATATCACAATGTTCATAGCACAGGAAATCACTATAGTGAGAAACTGAGTGATCAAGGCTCCCTGTCGGGGAATCCCCATATTCCACACACAACTTTCACAGATCATAATATATACAATCTGTAACCCTATATTGTTTCTCAGAAATAAGATTTAAATTTAAAACTGGTACTTTTAAAAAACAGATTGTTGAATGCTATGAATCAGAATGATGGTTTGAAACAAATACCCCATTTTACAGGTGCCAATTCGCGAAATTATTCTTAAAATAAGCACCGAAAATTTTTAAAGTATAGGAAGAATTTCCCGGGAGTCAAAGGTCCGGGGAAATTTCCATTGCAAATTAGTGTCTCACAGTCCACTGTTGTATTTAGCCACACCACTCTAAAACCATTTTTCTAATTTTAGCCTTGCTTCCTTGAATAGACATTGTACTTGCACGTAAGATAAAAACGTTAGTACTGTATTGAATTTGGTTAAATGATAAACCACTCATTCCAGTAACCTGCTAAATATAAAAACGCTTATAACTTTTTTAGTAATTTCTGGTGAAACATAATTATTATATAACACTTTTCATTTGGAACAAGTATCGTTAAAACGGTTATCTTTTTTGAATAGTTTCTGCGGTCTGAAAAGTCGAATAAGCGTTTCGACATAGTAAATGCTATGATCTTTGCCTATGCCTACCATACGTCCCGCTTTAGACGGTACAGTCCCGCTTTTTAGCGTCTTGTCCCGCCGTCCCGACAAGTCAGCCAAAAGTCTCGCTTTGGCGTTAAGCCATCCAGCATAATACACGAACATGTTCTCGTTACTGTTGTTGCTGTGTAGCGCAACGCTAGCCTACTTACAGAATGTACTATTTTGTTTGTTTTATTGTTTCCTGCCAACATTGTTAGCGTATCACACGTAAAACCAATACTAACTAGAGCTGCGTGCAGCTTTAACAGGCTTCCCGCGTAAAAAAAAATTTGCATTTTATTGCTAGCTGAGAACTTCTGCACATTTGAGGTGAATTTCAAGTTTGTAGGACCAATTTGAAAAAAAAATAATATTAAATAAATAATAAGGGAACTTGGATATTGTGTATTGAACTGCAGGTCCTTTCTCCTTGTTTACTTTCTACTTCGGATCCGTATGTGGTACTCACCAAAGGATGCTGATGTCAGTTAGACCGACAGTTCGGAGTTGATATGGATTAAATTACCATAGCATCTAAATCAGTTATAGAAAACTTAATTTTAAAATAAATTAAATTCTTGTGATCTTTATATTTACAGTTATATCTTGTATTGTTTGAAGAAGTTAGACCATGTTCTAACGAAAGCTCACAAATATACTTACTATTTCGTTGAAAGATATCATGTTATTTTAAAATGATTAATAATAATAATAAAACACAGGAATACAATAGGTTCCCTGCTGACAAGCAGCGGGAAGCCTAATTAGTCAAAATTTGAATTATTTGTGCCGTATCTTTAAAGCCAATTTCTTTATATTTTTTTAACTGAAACGATATTTGGACAGAGAATATGCGCATGAACTCTCGATGACAATATGGTCAATGATGACAGCCGGGATAGCTTTAAATGTAGGCCTATTTAGTGAAATCGGAAATTGTAAAGTTACAAAATCACAGCTAAGGGGTCGTTGTCTTTGGAGGCGTCCCGCTTTATAGTCACAAAGATATGGTAACCCTATCTTTGCCATCAAATTATGCTCGGGCCTTGCACGCAACTCATAACGTGAAAATGTACGTCCAGCTGGGAAAATTGTTTATAACAACTTTAAACCTAGTTTGTTTGCCACTTTTATTTCTGAATCAGGTTGTGAAAAAATGAGAATACATGCTTTTTTTCTATTTTCTTCCATGCACTTTTATTCAAATCAACAATTGTACATTCGCCAGTAACAGGGGGGGGGGGGGGGGGGGGGCAAAACGGTATTTATAAATAAATACAATTCTGAATTTAACCTGATAAGGACGTGGAAGAGCGAGAAAAATCGAAGCGCGTGATCAGCGGTGCGTTAGAAGACCACGTATTACCCGTGCGGCCGCGCAACTTTTACATAATGTGAGGTGCTCCGAAGACGCTCTCGTTTCTATTAATGTAAGAAAACAGTTCTAATATCGGCAACTATTAACCATTTGTTCGCGTTCGACTACCGTACTCTTAATGGGTGGAAAATATTCTTGTTTTGTGATAGATGTGCCGCGATCATTCAAAGAGCTAAATAGTGTGACACGATATCAAAAAAAGGTTGGGAACCACCGCCCTAGATGCTCTAAGATTTCTGCGTCGATATTACAATGAAATAAATACGTGATTTTATTGCCATGCAAATTGTTTCAATCTTTTACTTAATATCGAAAAATCCCGGATTATACGGCTCAATCCCGGGATATCCCGATACCGGAATTTCGAAAACTGGTCCTGAAATCCCAAACCTAGTACTCAGTACTACGTCATCAAAGGCCATTTTCAAACTGCGGTCGATTTTTGTTGGGGCGGCTTTTATAAATTCATAACAAGAAAATTAGGTCGACTTCATGTAAATAGTAAGCGTCAAAAATTATGAAAAAGTATACAGTATAGAACTAAATTCATCAGAAAGAAAAATTCCGTGAGCCACCTTTAAAGCTTGTAATTAATTCTCAAAATTGGTCGCTGGTCAACCCACGACTGCTTTTGTATTACCTGGCTCTCGTTATATGTGACGCTACATTCGATAAAGTTCTGCTTCGCTTCTTAATAGCACATACTTTGACTGAATATTACATCAAACAGCCGAAAACGAAATAAAGTGGTACAAACCTACTCTAGAATCAGTTCTACAAAGCCTATTGTCGGACGGCCAGTAACGGCACGTTCAATACGTAAAACGCTATACTTACTATATAACGCAATATATGGAATTAAATTAATCAAAAAAATAATATTTCCGCGAGCCTGCGTGGGGTCTACCACACTCAGGGGCGTGCCAAACTCTTCTGCTGCCCGGGGCGAGTTTCTGATAATGCTGCCCCCTTATACCTAACCTTAAAAATAATTCGTGCAATGAACAAATTATAGATGTTGTTATGTACGAGAATAAATAAATTAAAGGTCAATTAAGCAAGATGGAAACGTTTGTTTTATTAAATAAATCATCAACCTAAGCAACAAACTCACATTTACAAGATCGAACTCATTTATTAGCAAATACAAGTCACTTATTTCTATGTCCGATCGCTACTTTGCTATCCACAAATGTCTGAACGACCTTTCCCCCCTCGTTCGTCAGGAATATCTTTTGGGGAATAACGCAAACTACAGCTCGGTTCTGCTGCCCCCGATTACGTGCTGCACCGAGCGTCTGCCCCTTCCGCCCCTCTCTAGGCACGCCACTGAGTCCACACTGTAGCGTGAGACCTATCTCAAGCTGGTACTACATCGTGAGGTCTATCTCATTATAGCGTGAGATATATTTCAATATATTACCATAGCATGAGATTCGCAACATGCTAGTAATATACAAATAAGACCACCAACCAAAATAAATCAACGAAACAACCCGTCTGGACTTCTGAGTTTTTTCATCCGTATTCACTGCCGCCATGCTGAGTAAATAATATTGGCTCCAATTCCGCAATTTTTTGTGACATCTCGGATTTATCTCAACCTTTATCTCAATATATGGTTACACTAATTTTATTAAGCTTTCATTATTCATCAGACGAAATCTGGCAACGGTAAAGTTAATATTTTCAGCGCGCATTTTAAAAATCTGAGGCATTCCGCTGCCATTGTACTATATGAGTTCAGAAAACATACAGTGTTTTGTGGATTTAGCCGTTCAGGAACTACATTATACGGATGGATTAGCGATGAATCGTGGTATTAGACGATGAGATTTTTGCAGGTCAAGTTGCAAGAAGAAATTCAAAGCAGGTATCGATTGGTATTTCCTACCGGTACCTTTTCAGAGTTTTCCATCGTAGTATCCTACCGGAACATTTTGTCCTATTTTCATGTGCGTTTGTATCGTATTTCCAGGACCACGGCGTAATGCCTTTTACATTATCTTATTGTTTATTTTATTTATTTTTTGATGGGGGTTTTGTCATTATGTTTGTCTGTGTCGGACCGCTACTATGTTCATTCCTGCCCCATGAAAGGAATGCCTAATCATCCTGCGACGTTAATTCGTAAACAGATGCGCCATAAAACTACCCAAAAGCAATTCTTGTGACCAACGAATACTTCATCAAACAATGCGTTTATTAAAATATACATTATATGACTCACTATAAAAAAAATATACAGTATATATTTTATCAATACACATTGATTACAATATCACCAGGACTGTTGTATAGTCTGAACGATTTGACTGAATTTATAGCCTGTTGTTGTATTTTCAATTTCGAAGTTTTTTAAATCCAAATGTTAAATCTTCCAGAAGTTTCGTGCAAATTTTCAGTGTCAAAGTTTACACATCTTGTTGCGTCCTTATTTAATTTGAGACCGTAATTTCAACTAGTCAGTAGATGCTTTCACCTTTAGCATTTATTTTGATATCCATTCTTATCCCACGACTTGGCCACAGTATGCTGTGACATCATTTCCCTGGCGATTGTACCACCTTGTCGTGCACCCATTGCATGGGTGAACTCTACAAATTGCAGACCCATTATTCACGCAGCGAGCACCTTGACATACATCTGGACATCCATGAATTAGAGCTTCTCCGTAACCACATGCTGCACCTAAAATATATCAAACGATGAAATAGTATGAGGAAAATATGTCTCGTGCAGAAAATGCTTGGCTTACGAGTAATATTATAGGAATAAAAACATGTTTGAAAATGTTATTTTTGTCTCCTACTAAAAGATACTGGTCGCATCGTACCAAACTACCTCTGACTAGGGCTGGGCATTTCGAATTGAATAGTAAATTACGAATCGCGGCCAACTTGATTGATTTAAATTCGTTAGTTTTTATTTTTGAAGCCACATTTTTTATGGCAATGTTGAAGTAGGACTCTTTTCTTTCTGGCGAGTTATTGTGAAACATGTGCCTTATTGTGTGTGACAACTCAGCGGATTGACTGAAAGTCATAGCAAACAAAAACAAATCTCACTGAGCTAACAGAAATATTTAAAATGAATAAAAATAATAGCCTTCTGGGGAAAAATTTCATCTTTAACCACTAAAAATTTCAAAGCAATTGGTCCAGTGATCAAAGAAAAAAGCGGTTTTTTAATATTTCCACTAGGTGTCCCAAAGATGTCAAAGAACAACACGAACAACATAAAACCAAAACGATCGTTATGTCCACTAAACGTGTCCAATAAGGAAAATTGGAATAAAATTATGGCCTAATCTGGTACACATACTATGTTCCGGTGTCCGCCATCTTGGTTCGCATACTACAGGAGTACGAAAATTGACCATCGCGCTGAAACATTTCGACACCAGCTCTCAACACCGAAAAATCAAATTTCAACATCTTAAATGTTGGCGAACGCAATCCTTTTTTAAAAAATTGTTAAACAAGCTCAGTAAAGTTAACGCATTTTGAGTGCATTTCAAAAGATCTGATTTATTTTCATCGCCATATAAGTTTCAACTCGGAATCTGGAGAAATAAGGGTTCCGGGTATTCCGACTCTCTAGAATTTGAAACCCGACTCCGGTAAAAATATGCGAAACTATGACTCCATAACCATGTCCGGGATTGGCTATTTCTCCAATTGTTTATTACGAGCCCTCCATCATTGTTGTAGATTTTTTTCGGCAAACGTGTTCTTTTTTTCACCATTTTGTAAGTGTATATTTGTGAAAAACTGTGCGCAATGCGCGCGTGCACAGTTGTCGAATTCTTACTCATCGTGGTCGGGAGTGTGTATTTCAATCATCGAGTTTGTGACTTAGGGCAACAATTGAGATTAAAATGCTTGTAAATTCCATAATTTTCATTGTTAAAACTTATCGCCCACAGCGACCCCCATAATGACAGAAAAGATAAAGCACCATAATGAATAACACAAAAAAAGTAATGTTCTTCGGTACCTGTAAATGCTGGAGCAAATTTACCGCTGGCACGGCTGGTGGTACTTGTACAAATGGTGCTCTTAGTACAGTTTGGTTGGGACGATTTGTTAAACTCAGTAGGAGTGCAGTGAGAGCGAATTTTGAAATCTTTCGTGGTGGTTTCTTATCTGTAATGAAAGAAGATTGTGATTAAGTGTTTGATTTTACTTTAAAGATTTAAACATAGATAGCTTAATTCTGCATAATAATAGTCAAAGGCCATTCCGAGGCTTTTAAATTTCCTTGCTACGATATCCAACTATTAAATCATTTTCTCAATGTGCAACTCTGCACTCGAGAAAATGCATTTTCATAGCCCACGGCTAGAAAGCAATTTTGTGCGCGGCGCAGAGCGGACAGTGCAGACGTGCGGCGTGCTTGACCAGACGCACAAAAAGAAAAAGATAGGAGGCTTAAGAGCGCATTTTTGCTGAATTTTTTTCTATCAAGGCACTCCTTTTTTTTCAAGCTTTTGTCTAAGTACTCTAAACTAACTAAAGTCGCGTTTTTGCTTCAACTGTTTTAGCCCTGTCAACCGCTTACTTGAAAGTTTCACACAATCCGTTCCACAACCTGTTGAACAGCATACTTCATCGTCTTCACAATCGTCAGCTTTTGTACAGGTCGGGGTGGTTTCAAACTCATCACAAGTATCTCCAGAAACTTCGGGAAATGAACATTTCGCATCAAAACCGGCAATTGCTGGATGGTATATAAAAACTTATTAGTCTTTTCCGCGTCTAGTTCACCAAAGAATCAGCAGTATTGCTCCACCCTGCTTGGGATGAAAATAATGCCAATTAGTTACGGAGAGATACCAGATAGCATTGACGCTTTTGGAGGTCAAACCTTTCGTTATATTTTGAAAATATTAACTGCTCCGAAATTACTTTATTTTCAAAATTACTCCGCGCCAATTACTTATTATTGTACAGCGATTTAACCAGGTTGGATATTTACAGCTTTGTATACCATAGCAGTCGAGTGGATACTGGTTTCTGAACTGAATTATTATTTCAAACGAAATTTATACTATTCAAGTAAGATGTACTTTAAAATATCAATCTGTGTTTTCGCCAAAAACCAACTTTGCAATGGGATTCAAGTAATATTTTCTATTTTTCGCTGAGCGTTTTGATAGAAAGTTGTTCCATAAAGAATATCAATATATATTTCTGGAATAAAACACTTTTCTGATATAAAGAACAGTGCAGATAGTGGACCCCTGTTAAAATGGTACCGGTTTTCTACTGCTTCATTTAATCGTATGAACTTGTTCAAAATAAATTTTGACCACACAGTCTGGCTTGACGAGAATAGCCCAAAATGCTAAGAAATTGATTTTGAATTCAATAAAATGTGGAAACTTACGTTGGCACACATCAATCCGCTGTATCCCAGTGGGCATTGGCATGTAAAGCCGTCAATAGAATCATCGTTCATGCAGAGTTTCCGCTGATCATTTCATGTTTTCAGATCGATGGCGTTTTTACAGCCTGTAGGAATACAAAGTTAATAACAAAACTGAGACTAGTGGGGGAAATTTTGAAACTTAATCTTACAACAAGAAAAGGCGCGATAATGTTTTAACTCATTTATCTCGCCTTTAGTAACAAGATGAGATGGAGATGAGACTGGAATTTAACAATTTCTAAATGAGCATAATGTACGCGAAGTTTAACTATTTTTTCGCAGACCGTTTTGTAAATTTAGTAATATTTGTAGGGAATCATCATTGTGACCACGTAGAAATGCTATTACTGTCGATTTATTCAGTATTTTAATGGGAATGCAGCACTGAGGATTGACGGACAAAATATTAACATACAGGTAAATGCAATTTTTATCTAACGCCAAATAGTACAGATGCGGTTAAAAAGAGAGGAAAGTCGACGCGCGTTGTTACCGTTGCGCGTTGTTGACGTTTTCGTTTTCCAGTAATTTCCAAAGGTAGTATTGACCGCGTGGCATCAACTGCATGGTAGATTAAATCTAACGTAATTCGAATATTCGGTATTCTTCAAAATTAATCGAAATATTTGATAAAAAGTATTCGATTTTGCTCACCTCTAGTCATAACTGACCTTGTGTCTGTATAAGCCAGTGGTCGACAAGCTGCGGCCCGCGGGCCAAATGTAGCCCGCGAAAATTTTTTGTGGCCCTCGAAGACCTCACTTTTAACGCATAAAATCAAAAATTGCCCATAAAGTTATTATTATCTGCGCACGGATTGTATGTCGTAACAATAGTGTTTGTTATGTTGTAAATGGCTTAAGAGAAAGCACGTGTAAGTTGTTTGTCGTTTACTTGCAGCCAGGGTTGTCCAAAACGAATCGAATATTCGAAATTATTCGAATATCAAAGTATTCGAATACCTTTTCGGCTCATTTCCGAATAATTACGAATAGTAGTCACTTTTCGCCGTAAACATGGTGTTTCGTTTTACCGGAATCTTCAAACGACTTTGTACGCTTTCTCACGTATTGTAATGACGATGAAATAGAATCGGCATTTTGATTGTTTATATTCAGCGCGAATGTACGTCGCATAGTGTTGCGACACATTTGCACGTTTGCGTTGGTGGACATTGCCGACATTCGTCTTTTAATTCACAAAATCATTTCCATTAGTCGAAAAATCGACAATCACCGTAATAATAAGTCCGGCTAAGTTCCCGGCTAATAAGTCGCTTTTCTAGACCCAATTTTGGCTTGATTTTTTTGGGGGAGGGGCGCCTTATTGAGAAAGTATGTTTATTTTATTTCTACGTGGCCTGCTTATTTTTCGCATTAGTCTTCTCAAGCATAATTTGTGTTAACCTTATATTTGGTTCTTATGGGTCTGCCAATCATGATATTTAATCGTAGGCCGGTTATCGTTACTTAAAAGAGAAATCACGGCCACCGAGATAAAGTAAGTGATTTATGACCCTTTGGTTTTGCCGATTCAGCAGAAAACGACAGGGACATGAAACACAGCTGTGAAATAACCCGTGGACGTACCGTGTGGTACTTATCACATTCCAAAATTATTTCAACATTCGGGTTGATAGGTTGTCCAAAATGATTGCCGCTTTATAGTTTAAATTTACCGCTTCATTGTTGAGAATAGTTAATTCCGTGAGTATGGTTCTACCAAACAAACACGATCTGGTTCTGACCCTATAAAATTATATATTGTTCTAAATGATTGTGATTTTTAACTTAAAATTACCGCTTTATTGTTAAAAATAGTTAATTCTGTGAGTATGATTCTACTAAACAAACGTGATCTGGTTCTAAATATTATTATTAGCGCATATTAGCATAACTGAACAACAGGGAACAATTTATCTCCCTGTCTTCTTGGAGGCCTATATGGAAAACCCCCTTTTTTGAGTGCTAAAAATATACATCGTCCTATTTGCCATGTAGACTTATTAGCCGGAAAATACGGTATTCATAGCCGTAATTGATACGATATCTAATAAATTGTCACAAGTTGAGAAACAAGTTGATTTATTAGAAAAATACTTTCACACGCTTTCTGGCAAATAATTTTGATAATGATGGTCAAAAGTATCGATAATGAAAGTATTAATACCAAATACCACGGGTATTTGTGGGCATGAAATGTGTGAAGTTTTTGAACCCTATTTTCGTATTTATAAAATAATAAAAGTATTATTACACAAACATACAACGGCGATCTGCGGACTTAAAATGTGTGGTAAAGTTCCCGAATATAATTACTTTTTGATTCGTATTTTTGTACTCACGAAAAAATTGTCACAAGTCTGAAAAAGAACTCATACTTTATCCCGCTTTTTGACAAATAATTTGGATAATGGTTGGTATTTAAAAGTATGGGCGTTTTACTAGGATGATTTTGTGTTGCGCAAATATTCAAATCCATCACCGATACCACTATTTAAAATGCCTTGTCGTATTATTTCAATTCTGTTAATTAACACAACTCATGTTATATAAAATATATATCGCAATTATCTGCAAACATGAAATGCCTGGTAATATAGCCAGGTTGTAGATAGAAGTTATTCCATTGTTTATTGTATGAAAATTCCTTCATACACTTAGATTCTATTACTGGATTTTATTTTCGAAGTATTCGAAATTTCATATTCGAAAATAATAATTTCGAATGTATTCGAAATAGTGAACTATTCGGTATTGGCCATCCCTGCTTGCAGCCCTGTCGGTTGTAATTAAAATCAGAAATGGAGGGTGCAGAAACGGGTGCGTCATAATTTGATGTTTAATGTGCAATTGTTTATAGGCGGAAATTAATATGGCCCGCTAACAACCATCAATATAAATGTTTGGCCCAGTAGTACATAAATTTTGCCGACCACTGGTATAGGTGTTTGATGCGTATGAGATAGGGGATAATATTCTGTAGTTCAATAAAATGACTTTGTGCCTTCGCTGACGGATTATATATCAAATCTTGTTTTATTAATAAATGATTGTTTAGACCTCACATTCCTGAACAATAAGTAACTTTAACAGTTAGAGGTCATGAAGGGTGAGCGTTTCCGTCAATTCCTGCGGCCCGTTGTTTTAATTAAAAGAAAAAATGTGCGGTCGTGTTTATTTGTATTTGGCGTTGTTGTATACCATTCTGTGTCAAACGCCTTTCACTTTCATCGGATTATCGTGTCAGCAGTGCTTGTAACCGGGTATTTATTGTAATGCTTGGAGTGTTTAAAATTGATTCCGATAAAATCAAACCTCATAATCGTTAGCTGTAACGAAACTTCAAAGTTCATTCAGAGTTCAAACATTATTCAAATGTGAAAAAAATAATAATTGTGGTATTTCAAATATTGGGTAGGTACTTTATTTTTAGATTCAGATTTACTTTTAAAGATCTATTCGGAGGATCACTATGAATTTCACTAATGTACGAGTATCTAAGAATATAACTTATGTAGTGGCGCAGCCATGAGGCCAAGTACAATTCCACTGTCAAAAATAATCGTGACTTTGCAGATACAACTAGCAGTACTATCATGTGCGCGCATGTTATTGCATACTGGTTTGGTAAATATTTGGCCTGTGTTTTTAATAATTGCAAAAAAATCGCCGCCTTTAAAGAGAGCGCTGCAAATTTTATAAGTACGATTACATAAAAATATTATAACATATGAATTTTCTTCGAACAAGGCCCTGAACTAGCAGTAACTATCATGTACACACAAACTATTAAAACCATAAAAATAAATAATTTTTTATCCAAAATGCGTTTTTACCGTATTATAATACTCTTATTACATTTGATTTCATAATATTAACCTCGAAGAGACGACTTATTTATATGGCGATCCACGACAACTTGTCGTTTCAACACTTTCTCGTACACGACCTCAACCCTGTTTTTGATTGGGAAATTTTCCATGTTCTACTTCATTAAGACAATACCTTTGTTGGACACGAAGTAGGTCTATGGATCGTTTCGTTATTAGGTTGTCCTTGTTGGTATTATTGTTATGAAAAATCGCCTTTTTCTTTAACTACTGGACCAATTTCTTTGAAATTTTCAGTGATTTAAAATTTCTGTTGTCGCTAGACGGCTAATTTTTTTTTAATCAAAAAATCCTGTGGGTTCTTAGGGATTGTTTTTTGTATGTGCGAACAACGTCATCAAAATTGAAAATTGCGCACCCAGTGGCGGTTCCGCTAAGTTGATCGATGCGATTCGGTGATGAGTCGAAATCGGAAATACTATGATCAGGAGCGTAGCCAGATATTCTCATAGAGAGGGTCTATTATTTCTAATTGTCAAGTTAGACCGTAACAGCTAGTGGGCCTATCGAAAAAAACGGGGGTTTTCAAGAGTCTAAGAAACGTTTAAAGCTACGAAAAATTGCTATGTATGATACAGAAAAATGCTTTTTCCTTCACAGTTCAAAAAAAGGCCTCCGTCTCTCAACTTGGGTACGCCTCTGATTACGGTACCGGTACTGTAAAAAATTAGATACCCGTACTACTTCGTTTTGGTCTTCGTGTTCATAAATTTGAGTATCGCTCACTTTAGAAATGTTCATTTTATTCTAAGTGGCAAAACTATGGCTATAGTTTCGATCTAAACTTGTGATAATACAAGATCAAATATATATAGCAGGGTCGGCGAACCACTGACCACTAAGTTTATTCGGTGACCCGTCAAGTCACGAATCATGGGAAATCATACCAACATTCACTTGTAAAGAGTTGTAAGAATCTTCTTTTCACAATAAAAATATAATTTTTGACCATTTGATTCTGCCGCCGTCCCTGATATACTGTTTATAGTATTATTAGTTTACTTGGTGCTCCCGAAGTATGCGAACCAAGATGGCGGACATCGGAACGTAACATGGGTAACAGGTTAGGGTTAGTCGATAATTTTTTTCCAATTTTCCTTATTTTAGTCCTATTATCAGTTTGAAGATTAGCCAAGAGCCTCCCGTAGTATTTATAGCTAAGATTATGGCCTAACCCCAACCTGGTACACATATTACATTCCGATGTCCGCCATCTTGGTTCGCATACTTCGGGAGCCCCGTTTACTTAATAGACATAACTTCCTTATTCGTTTTAAAATCATAATACAAGCAGGTACTCAGATACAGTATTGGCCGAATGGTACTATTATCTATCTGACCTGTTGGAAAACATTCATTTGATCCTACGCAACAAATTTCTCCATCCGGACACGATTTGGATCCTTACGATGCATTCATAAACTATTTCGGATGCCTTGCAAAGATCGACTGGATTATTCGTAGAAGGACATCTGTCAAGTCAGGGTACTTGTATTTCTATTGTCAATCATTAAAATCGTGCAAGAATCAATGTCAGGCAATAAAGACAGAACGGGTGTCCATACGTTCTAATTTTTTTTTTATGAACTAGTAAAGGGAATTTATTGATACCATATATTGTTTTGGCCTTACAGATGTATCGAATACTTGAACAATTACTGATTAAAATACAACAAACCTGGTTAAGATGTATTGGCAACTTACTTTGTACCAAATTGAATTGTAAAGGTACTTTACGGACACCCCGTATATTAAAAAAACTAGCAAAACGGAAAGCGGAGTGCTCGCGAAAGACTCAGCGACACCCTGTTGGTGAATTCAAACACCTGATAAAGCAAAGAAACGATTATATGAGACAAACAATTATAATAATTCAAAATACACAATCATGAAAATAACAACATATTAATTAGCAACCGGAACTAGACAAGTGAGTAGAACCACTGTGATTTTTTCATTTAGATGGCGAGCGACATCTAGTGATAAGGATATCCTCAATACGTGCAAACAGGATAAATTATGCTGATTAATATGATCAGGCACAATATGAAAACTGTTTACTTTAGCGCTTCTCCTAGGATAGGATTCACATATTTATCCGGGGGAGAGGAAAACCGATAGGACGGCTTGATTATATGGCTCGTCCGGTTACCAGACAGTGATTCCCAAACTTTTTTCCGCGACTCCATTTTTCATAAAATCAAAGCCTACAGATACTCGCGACCCCGCAACAAGAAACATTCAGCAAATTCAAAAATTAGTATATCAGTTTAATTATCTCAATGGGAACAATGTTGACGTTGACGGTGAACGTTGGCCAAAAAATATATGAACAAGTCCGGCAATGCGACGGAAAAATGGGGAAATCACATATTTAAGGGTCAATCGCCAAATAAAGCAACTTTGCTTTGTATATTCGATAACCAAGAAGCTAAACTGGTACAAAATAATATACCAACATAATTTCTGGCAGCCTGGATGTAACATGATCAAAAAGGCTATGGAAAGGAAAATATTATTGGCGCTCGTAACGCTATCACTCAATTACCTTTACTATTTTCGGTAATTGCCGACCAGCTGGAAAGGTTAAGTACCACATGAAAGTTTTGCCGAGCAATTTTGGCGCCGGTTAGACAATAAATGGTCGATTTATTGATGAAAAATACTGAGTTAGGCACTTTTACGGTACTTGCCGACCAGCACAAATTTCACATTCCAACCTTCAAATCCTAGTCACTTGTGTGCGGCATGTTTGACAGAAACTATGCGACCCGAGAAAATCTTCACGCGACCCACAGTTTGGGAACCACTGCATTAGGGTATGGAATTAGTTTTTAGTAAGCCAGTTATTTGTTCCAGATGCATGAGATTTTCAACATCAAATTCAACAAAGTGTAAATAGCGGCATTTTCCCGCATCGAATGGAATTAAAACCTCAACCACTCACGCTTCCTTTATGCCGAGGTAACTCTAACTGAACTAGAGTAGATTACGCTCATGGGAAATAAAACAAGAATACTAACGTCCCATACAATCATCCCCTGTGAATACAAATTGAGGACAAGCACAAACAGCGAGCGGTGGTAGAAATTCGTAGCAAATTTTATTTCCTGAGCAATCGGCGGTTGTTTCGCAGGATTCTAAATATTAATAAAAATGAACTGAAAGGTTAAAACATCAATAAAACGACATAAAAAGTGGCCTGAACTGTTATTGTGCTTAAAATTTTTAATACAACTAAATGCCCCAATAGTATCACAGGAAAAATTGATTTGATGACTTACAAATACTTCAAAAAAATCGTCAGAGAAAACTCCTCATAAAAACTAAAATTTCAACGAATTTGTTTCAACCAACAGTGACAGTGGCAATAGTGTCAGTCAAAATAAGTGCGGGTTACGATAGTATTTAGTAATACAAAATCAAATTGATCTTTTTCGGTGAATCAAACCAACAAATAATGCTTTTATCATACATGTTTCTAAGGATGGAATCTCGCACCGTTCATATTGTTTAGACTTGACATTCCTAATAAATTAGCAACATAAACAGATAGCGATCCAAATTGAATCGGCACGCCTGCGTCGGCCGAACGCTATACTACGCGTCCTTGAATGTTTCAGAAATAAATATTCGCGAAGAAATCGGATAATTGAATACCCAGTGAAGTACAGTATTCAGAAAGAGCGCTAAGACATCTTTCTCATACAAAACATTATGCCATTCCATATAGTACAATAGTTTTAATTGCGAAAAAAGGGTCAAAATATTATGTTTTGTAGACAGCCCGCGCCAAAAAAAATCCCTGCCCCAGTTAGAATGTTTGTTCATTGATGGAATTCAGCGATGTCAGCCAATATTTTATCAACCCCAACCTTAACTTTGTTTTGCCCCTCCCTCAAATAAAATCTAAAACATCGTTAGCTTTAACGAGACTTGGACAAGTAATATTCCACAATAAAAAAACATTGTGATTTTTATAATATTTGCAAAAATGTTCGCAGTGGTTTCTGCCTACTGAGAACTTGATACATTTTCTCGGGGCGTTTATAATTAGCTCCACTTAACGAAAAGTTTACGATGTTACTGACTCTGTCAAGCTCAAGCAAATATTTTTGTACCACCTTTCCCTCTAATTATTTAAATGATTGATTTTGTATTCAGTTTTTAATATAAAAAATTGAGTGAACCCCATAATTATCGCCATTAAGCAGTAACAAAAATATCAGAACCGGCATTCGCGAATTTAAAATTTTTATCACGGCGGACTGTGGACACACGCTTTTTTTAAAATGAAGGTTTCACTCTGCTGACGTGGCAGTTTGTAATTAATTTTCCTCCGCGGTCCAATTTAATCATAATTTATGTTGTTCAATTTTGCACACAATCGCACCTAAAAAGCATTAGTGAATCGATATCTTTCGTACCCGGCATAGTCTGGCAATACGTACATTCCTATAAATAAGGCGTGGTTGGTAAAAATGTAATTCTCCATAAAATCTATATGTTGTATTTACTGGTGAATCTAAATACATACACAAACTACATTTCGGTGGCGGCCATCTTGGTTCGCATACCACGGGAGTACCATTTATAGATCTTTAATGTTATACACTTTCACCTGTCAGCCACATCTCGTTATTGATATAAATGATTAGAGAAAATAGCTACGTAGTGTTAATTTGAATTTGTTTTTTCACTTTCATGTTTTGTTTTAAATTTTTTTCCGATTATTGCGTCGGTACTACTTGTTAGCGACCATCGTTATATTTTACGAGACTTGGCGAAGCATTATTTCCTGTAAACACCAATTGTATTTTATCGAGCTACATAGTCAGTATTTTTTTCTTGGCAAAATATGTTACTGTTCTAAACGGAATTTCGAAGGAGAGTCGAAATGTTTACAGAGATCAATTATATTACAATAAGATATTTTTATCTTTAAACGAGGTCGTGGAGAAGCGCTCATTGTTGTGTATAGGAAGCTATTACTGTACTCAATTCCATATGTATCTTTTTATTTGTCTTCAAAGAGAAAAGCCGACAAGACGACTCCATCAAATGTTGAAACACTACATTTTTCGATCACCGATAAAGGTCAAGAATGGCGACTGTATATGCGTTATACTTTAGGATGGATGGGATTTGCTATGTCTATCTAGTCTAGCGTCTCGGTGGAGTCCGTCGAACTTATCGCCCATGTTACTTCCCCCAGAGAAGAATTCTATGTGAACCCCTCTCGCAAATAGTATTAAGCGCTGTAATAGACGTTACTAAGAACTGATATATTTGCTCGGGGCCTTTATAATCTTTCCTTTTCACATGAAATCCGCGATGTCAACAAATCTGCCAAACGTAATTAACCAGTAAATAACGTGCACTTTTGGCGATTAATATGAAAGAGGTATAACACAACCAATTGTTGAACAAAATCCATAAATCATTACCATGAAATTGTGCTTATTAACTATATATTGTGGCCGGAAACGGAATCTTTCATCGACCCATGTCATAGATTGTCGTTGTTTTTTCCAAGTATACGTTTGGGCCAAAAAGCGTGGGCTGAGTGACAAAGGTCATGGCTTACCCCTAACCGTCTGAGACAAGTTCATCCATTTTAATTATTCCTGAACCCAAAGAGCATTTGTTTATGCTTATAAATCGATTGAAAAAAAAACAATTCTTACTTAGGTGAATGAACACGTACCACTTCTTTTTGGCAATACCTTCCATCTTATATTCTGTACGTTTTAAACCTTGTCCAAGGTTTTGTTTACTCTCCTGATTTCATAATCAGTTTTTATTTATTTGTTTTTATCAACCATTTTATCGCCTTTTTGCTGATTATGGAGTCGAAATAAACTTATCTTATCTTACTGGGAGAATAAGATCGGCAGGATAAACTGCATCCATCTGAACAGCATATAGTGTCCGAAGGACAATTTGGCATCGGCCAATGGTATCATCGCAAAAATCCGGTATCGGTTTGGCTAAAAGTTGTAATTGATGGAAAAAGATTTGATTAATTCTTGACTACCATATTTGTACGGTTTTAATCACGGATATATTTACATTCTGCAGCGAATCGTGTTTTTCAAACTAATTTTAGGTTCCTCTTGCTCTTAAGCTTGATCTTAACACGATCAAAACGTTCATATAGAATTGCAGTTTTACTAAAATTTCCATCCAATAATAATTCAAAATTGGAAAAGTTCATGAAATTAATAAAATTTCCAAGTCGTTTTGAAAAATACATTCCGGTTATTTTTGAATTGTAGATTCAGATGTTCTTTTCCGTCGTGCATGAAATATTGTGCAAATAAACAGTAAAAATAGACGAGGAGCGAATAAACTATTAAGTTAACGTGTGAGCGACGTGAATGTATTGTGTAGTATGCCGTGAATGTATTATACTTCTTAGGTCAGGGGTGTGCAACAGACGGGCCACAACACCACAAGCCATTTAGTGTGGCCCTTGTCAACAGACGGATCTCCATCAAGCATAAAATCCTAATCCGACAGTTTATGTTTGAAAGGGCGCGCACATGAACGTTTTTTCTCGGCGTTGCTGTAGTATGTGCACCAAGATGGCGCGCAACCTGATAACCCTAACCTGGTACACATACTATGTTCAGATTGTGCCCTATCTTGGTGCACATACTACGGGTACACCTTTTTCTCTTGTCGCTTTAAACTTCCGCGGGTTTATATAGAAAACTATCAGAATAAAATCTTTGTCCACAAACTGCCAGGATAGGATTTACCTATTTATTCCGGGGAGAGGAAAGCCGTTAAGACGGTTTTTTCATATGGCAAACCACGGCCCCTAGCCTGGTTACCAGTCCAGGTCGGATATGGGACTAGTTAGCCGGGTATTTGTTTTCGGAAGCAGGAACTTGATGGTGGGGAAGTCGTAACCGACCAGCGGTTACGTGAACTAACCTACGGGGGCGAGGAGTCCAGCAATCCTCTCGCACATAACTATTCCCGCATGGGATTCGAGTGCAGTCTGCCCAATTAAAAAGTATGTAGGACTACTTGGAAGTATAATATTTGCATTTTAAACGGATTTTGCTTTTCGGTCGACCTATTCTTGAGCAGATATATTGCAGCAAGTTGCCTAATGGTTGCACAATTTTTGAAAAAAAATCGAAAGTCGGGGAGGTTATTTTCCTGTCCCATTTTCTTGTTCACCATCAGGCTTGTCATACAAATCAGAGTCAGAATCAAATAAAACTGCTACAATTTCCTCGGCTGTATGCTGCGGATGCATTGCTAGGCCATCTTGCTACGTTGCTAGGCTATCTTTCTACGTTGCTAGGATGCCGAAATGCGTG